CAGAGGGCCCCCCTGTCCAGCCAGCCAGGCCTCTGCATCCCAGGACATCACCAGGAGCTGTATGTCATTGCCACCAGCAGGGATGGACTCTGGCCACCAGGCATGCCTGTCATGCCCACCTGGTAAGCCCCACACTGAGAAGAGGGTCCTCCCCACCCCTGTCCCACTCTCTGCCCAGCCCAGCCGAGCTCCCTTCTGGCCCCCAGAGTTCTTCCTGTACAACATGTGGGGAGGTGGGATGCAGTGTCAAACTTGATTGTGCAGCCAGTGCCCCCTGAGCTAGGCAGTCACAGGCCTCTCATGTGGAGAAGGGCATCAGTACCAGCAACAATGTCACCTTGTGTGGGGGGGGGGAGGTAGGGGTGGGCAGGGACATGTACTGTAGGCACAGGTACTCCTTCAGATGGCAAACATTGCAGGGAAATGCGAGCTTGTCTCCTGCACCATCCCATGCCATAGTCCCACGCTAGGGTCTTCGGGGTTCCTGGAGCACCATGGTGATCAGCAGCAGCAGGGCTTAGTGGGTTGTCACCACTTGGTCCACACAAACAGCTCCTTCTGGCATGCCTGGGACACTTTCACCAGGGGCACGCTCAGAGGATGCCTGCCCCGGGGCACATCTCCAGAGAGACCCCCTGGGAGAGGATGAGGGCACCACCACTTCTGCCTCACAGTTGTCCATGAGCCCCTCGCCCACCAAGCCTGGTAGCAATGGAAGAGATGGCCTGGCCTGGAGTAGAAGAAGTAGGGAGTGGGTCAGGAACATGCACAGCAGGTGCGGCCAGGAGCCAAGCCTGTCCTGGCCTGGAAAGGGGGCAGGGAAGGTAGGCTGCTTGTGACAAGCACCTAGTGACCCATGTGCCCCTGTGGAGCAAGCAGGGATGGGGAGTTAAGGCAGTGGCTGCCTAACAAACTTACCATGGTTCTTGAGCACCCATGCATGCACAACCCCCAAGCCTCTTTCTCCTGGCTCTGCAAATTCAGCAGCTGCATGCAGAGGAGAGGAACACAGGGATGCACCTTCAGAGTCAGAAGGAGGCTTAGTCAGGGCCCTCTGTATGTTCTGGCTCTGGCTGGTCCCATGGTGGAGGAGCAGCTGGTGGACTCATGGGGCTGGCATGCAGAGGACGTAGTGTGCAAGCAGGAGAGGGTTGTGTGGGAGCTGGAGAGGGACTGGGCAGACTGTGAATTCTGGGACAGGCTCTTGGCACTTAAGGAGAGATGCACTGCTCTCAAGAGGATGGTGGAGGCCAAGAAACGGCAAGCTGTTGTAGTTGCCAGGGCAGTAGAAGCCATGGAGGAGGACTGCCAAGCACTAGACACCATCCTGGCTCTGGTGGTCACCTTCATCCCACCCGCTGGCCTGCCCCCAGCCCTAGGCCTGCCTGCCCTCTGGCAGCCACCAGCCACAAGCCCCATAGTGGACTTGGGCTGAGGTGCAGTGGCACCTTCAGTGGCCAGGTCCCCTTCCAACTGCCCCCCCCGCCCCGCACCTGCCCTGGCTCCATTTAGCCCCAGAACAGGAGCTGCCTGCAGCAGGACCAGCACCACGTGCAGGCCTTGCAGCCCTGGCTGCTGGCTGCAGGAGGGGGAGTTGGTCATGCTGGCAGAGCAGCAACCACCCTCACCCCTGGGTGACCCTCCGCCCCCACCTGCTGGCCTTGCCATGGCATGCATGTGCACCCGCAGTGGTGTAGCCAGTGGCCAGGGTGCTGGGCACCTGTCCCCAGGTTCCACCCCATGGGCACCCCCATCCCACTATCCTCCTCTCCAGTATAGCACACAGAGCACTGTACATAATCTGCATGGAGAGCTGGGTGCTTTATTGTTGGTGAGTGGGGTGGTTGGTGGTAGGGCTCTGTGAGTCGGGGTGAGGTTCTGTTGTTTGGGAGAGAGGGAGGGTCTGCTGTTCAGGGGGGTGGGGGGACAGGATCTGTGTTTGTAGAGGGGAATGAAGTGCTTTCCAGAAAATTGTCTGCAGTGAGCGTGGTGGGCATGATCTTATAGACATAATCAGACCAATGGTTGTGGTTGGTTATAGCCATCCACTGTCTGTGCAAGGACTTGACCTTCATGTGGCATTGCCACACTGAGAGTGGCCTCTCTCATGCATCCTGCCCAACAGGGCCTCATAAACATGGGCGGTCAAGCGTCCACCCTGTGCAAACTGCCCCTGTATCTCCACATCCTCCCAGAGGTCCACAAGGTTGCACACCTTCTTCTGGCTCAGTTAGGGCCCTAGGTGCTTCGCTTAGGTCTGCACACAATGGTGGCCCCAGGCCTCACTGGGGAGGATGGGGAGGAGATGCTGGTGGTGGTGCCTCCCACACTGACTTTCTGGGCACCCATACAGCTGTCCTTGTGTGGCTGGCCCTGGACAGCACTCAGGAGTGCTCAGCAATGGGGCAGGGCCAAGGTCTGGAAACTGCGTGGCAGAGGCAAATGTGCCACAGTGTGTGAGCATAGCTGCAGAAACGGGATACAGTGCTGGGGGTGCAGAGGAAAAGGGAGCTGGTGCTGCCCTCTTGCCACAGCCAGGCAGGTAGGAGCCCTGGGGAGCTCTGAGCACTGGGCAGGGCGAGCAAAAGGCTGCGGCCCTTTACAACACTTATCTGTGGCCAAGGAGCAGCTCTGGCTAGTGGACAGGCTGAGCAGCAGCAGCCTGGGTCCTGTCCAGGGGGCAGATGGGGCTTGCACTCCCCCAAACTCCTGTGCAGTGTGTCCCAAGGCACAAAATGGTTGCAGGCTTTTACACCCTGCAGCTGGGGGTATTAGCACTAATTTTCCATGGTATTTAAAACCCTTGTAAATGGGCAGAGAGTAAGAGCTAATGGTTTAGTGCAACAATATAAAACACCATTGGGCCTTGTCCTAAACTTGTGTGTCAAACACTGTCATCAAATTATACATATAAGATGATGGGACATTTTCTGATAAAACTTTTTTCTTTCATAAAAATTTGATTTGTGGAAAGTAAAATACATAAGGCTGGGACATTAAGTCTACCATTTTTTCAGAATGAAACATTTTCATCTTTTTAATGCATTTTCATTGTGGTTCTTTAAAATGATCAAATAGGAAGATGATAATATATATAAAATAAAAATATTATATTGTTTGAAAGTCAGAATCCAAGTAACATATTTATATCAATCCAAAATAGTTTTCAGAAATTTAATTTCACTGGAAAATGTTTAAATGATTAGTCTTATTTCAGTTACAGACTAGAAAAATAATTGAAACTGTGGAAATTGCTACAAAATGGAAAATCTAGTTCTCACTTAATCCTGCAAAATGTGGGGTGCCTTTTGAGTGAAACTCAAAGCCTTTCACTCTCACTGAGCATCCTGGCATGTGAGGCAATCAATGGCAATATCTAGCCTGCAAAATTAACAAGCTCAGCAGCAGCATATTCACACATGCTGTGCTGCTCAATGCAGGCTATTTTCTGAAGGAAGCCACTGTGTGAAGGGACCACTAGTTTGAATCTTTTAAACTGGCTTATTTCTAAAAATAGCCTATACATGTGCATATCTGTGGCCATGTTTGTGATCTAGACATAGTGACTATCAAGTAAGGGCTCGCTACTTCACAGGGCTGTGAATACTGCAATTCTCAGAGTGACCTACTGAAATATTTGCTTTTATGTAAAATATGCTTTGTAGAACTGCTTAATACTACTGACACCCAGCACAAGTACAGTTTACAAATGAAAGCTACTGAAGATATAGGCTAGGGACAGAAATTACACATAAACCAGTATAAGTGATCAGAAACCAGTTCAGATCTGTAACACAACCGAAGTTCAGTGTGCATAAACTGCTTTCAAAATAACCAAAACCAGTTTAAGATAAAACTGGATGGACATAGTATCAGATTTAACTAATTTAGGTTAAATAGTTTTATTAAACTTATGCCCTAGGTCCCCTCCAGATTCAACTTTAACTCTCAGTCCTCCCGTATCCCAGAATGCTTTGCACCTCCCCCCCCCCCAGGATAGGTAGGCCAGT